TCCATTTTATTTATGAAATGTATTTTATTTACTAGCTGTGTTAATTCATTGCAAAAGCAAATTAGTTGTGATCCATATGACAGAAGTGGGTTGTGATGCCTTTATATATCTTTTGTTTTGTTTATTTTTTGTGATAGGTGAGAAGCCTTTTAAGTGTGAATTTGAAGGCTGTGACAGACGGTTTGCAAATAGTAGCGACCGCAAAAAACACATGCACGTCCATACATCAGACAAGCCATATCTGTGTAAAATGTGCGACAAGTCCTATACCCATCCAAGCTCTCTCAGAAAACACATGAAGGTAATTTCACTGACTGCTTTGTATTTGCTTTGTTCTGTGAAGATACTATCTGTTTTGCATGCTGAATTTGCCAAAGTGAAAGTGCATATTGAACAAGGACCTTAGGTAGCACTTTAAGATAAGCAGATATCTCCTGCCTTGCAGTAAGGCACTTTACCAATTGAGATGAAGACTTGTGTGGATTTCAGTTTTATGAGAGATTCCTAGTTTTGTTTGTCAGGCTCTGTGCTTGTGATACAAAGAAAGATATAACAGATATGTTAAACAGAATAAGAATGCTTCTGCAGTCTGGATTCTGTATGTCCCCATGACACAGGAGGTATAGTTAGCATTTGGGATGCAGTGTCCTGGATACAAATGTAATTGCTATTATACTGTGACTAGACTAAGGGCAATACAACTGCCCATTTTGTATGCACCCAGTGGCTGAAACCCTATTTTTTCAGATAAGCAAACACTGTACGCCCAGCAATTAAAGTACTCTGTGAAATTTAATGAGACAGACTAGGGAAATCACTGTTCGATTGTACAGAAAATGCACGTTTTGTTTCCTAGCCTAAATTTAACCCCAGAGCTCAGAGACAGTTCTGTTCACCCAAACTGCCACTAAAGGGTTAACTCAGATTTGTAAGAATCCGGTTGTGTTGATTGGTGTATTCCTGTAGATTCATTTTTTTAAATGCTTTTTTTTTTCACCCCCTCCTTTAAAGGTCCACGAATCTTCTTCCCAGGGGTCTCAACCTTCTCCAGCAGCAAGCTCAGGCTATGAATCTTCGACACCCCCAACAATCGTATCACCTTCTTCAGAAAACCAGACCACAAGTTCCCTCTCCCCTTCTTCATCAGCAGTACATCACACGTCCAGTCACAGCACGCTCTCATCAAATTTTAACGAATGGTACGTTTAAACACATATTTAAAAAAAAGACTCCAGATTAATGAACACTTCGAATGAAATCCTAAAGCTGCCGATAGACCCGGGACCGAATTAAATGAAGAAAGAGCCCTTCTTTATTTCTTCAGGCTTGATAGAACACACATTAAACGGGGGTTCTAGAATGCATGAGAAGATAAGGTTGCCAGGCCAAATGCCAACTGTGTAGGGTTTAATGAACCACTAATTAGGGGTCTCAATCTGCATGTCTTCTCTGGCAGCAGCCTTTTTTTCCCTTGTAAATACAGAATTATTAGTTAAAATGTACTGTTGATTTTGTAAATAGTTATATTACAACTCTAAGGGATACGTGGAATCGTGGTCATGGCATATATGTGTTTCAGGGGAACAGTGGGAAGAAGAAATTCAGTTTCTTTGAATTTCCAGAATGTTTCTAGTGAATGTGTACCAAAATGTGAAAAAATACATTGTATTATTACAGTCTAAGCGTCCATCTAACAGACTATTACTGGTATAAGTGTGCTTTCTGTATAAAGTGCAAATCTATGTTCCAGTCCAGTCCAACTAGTGCAGTAAAAATGTTGTTTTATGTCATGTCAATAATTCGTACAGTGCACGCTTGGAATTAACGTGTCAAACTGTTCCATTTTGTTTATGTAAAGTGATATTAAAAGATAAAACCTATATCTGTCCATTGCTTTTGACAAATACAAACAGCATAATGTATATAGTGAATAATTTTTTCATATTTATCCGCATGTACAAGGCAGGCTATACCTGTTTAACAGATATTCAATATTTATGGATAGAAAAAAAAAAGAAAAAAAAAAAGGAAACATTCGTATGTAAATTTTAGTTTGCAAAAGCTGTTTCGTAACATTTCGTACATTATTAAAGATTCTGAAAAATCTCAGTCATTGTGGCAGGAATCCTTTTTCAATAAATAAGCATCCTTCAACTTAGGTTTTAGTGATCAGGTTAGATCAGACTTCCTGATGCCACCTCTAAGTAAGCCTTAGTGGTATAAACGTGATGTATGAAGGGATCCCTGCTGGCATTACCATAGTGGGTAATTATATTTAGAACGAAATTTGTGAAATAAATTTTCGGTTGCAATATAATTTAAATGACCTTTATAGAGAGAAAAAAATAACAACCATAAAATCCAAAGATCTAGATTACACAGGGTACATAAATATTAATGTGCTTAAGCTGTGAATGCAAACACGTCTTCATGAACAATAAATTAAAAAAAATAATAAGAAAGTTTATTAACAATACAATTTACACACTAACCCAATGACAGCCTTTGTATACTTAATTAGTTAATTTCCTTTTATGCTATATAAATTAAATATACATTCCTCTTCCTAGGGATCAATAGGCATCATGCATATTCAGAATTTTAAACCAGTATTTTTTTTAATTTTTTTAAAAAAATATATATTTTCTCTAAATCGTGGTGTAGATTTGAATCAATTATGTCTGTCCTTATCATTACTGGTTTTCAGTGTGTTATTATCAGGCTTTTTACCCAAATATAATCCAGGCACAATAATTGTATTAAGTTGATTATCTTTCCTATCTCTTTTATTTATTTCTAATTTACTTAAGAAATTCGTTCCATTGACTGGCGTTGATACAGTAGATTTGTAAACGAGAAGGCAATATTAAAAATGTAAATGGATTGTGCTTAATGAGTGTAGCAGAACGTTTTTTTCTTTAAATCAGATTGCATCCTAGCTGTTTAATTTGATAGATTTGCAGGCTGTATCGCCTCTATCTAACTTAGCTACGCTTGCTAGCCATCGTGGTGGCCATTGTTCTTCCATGTAGCTTGCATTATCGCCCCATTAGGCATACAGGGTAGGGTAACATCCAGACAGATCGCAATATTTACAGAACTTTGAAAGTTCGCTCAGATTTCCATCTGATGTGTCCCATAACACTGTCACTGTACCTGACCAGACCAGTAGAGAGGTTAAAGGGCATCGGAGTGAAGATGCGGTGAAACCTTCAGTTTTTTTGCTGCCTTTTATTGTCTTGCCATTTTAATTTAGTAGAATGTAGGTTGAAATCTGCATGGTATATAGAGGAGTGAATCTCTGGTATTTTACTGTATTTTTAAGTCTGATTCTGAAGATGCTTGTGAATTACATTTCTTGTGAAGCACGGCCACATTCATCAGTGATGCCAAGGACGTTTCTAGTGGAAAGGATTTACAGACACCTAAATAATAATAATGATTCTGTATGCCAACTATCCTCTCCTGTCAAGCAGAGGATGTATAGGATAAGAAGCAATAATGGGTTCTGAAAACAAGAGCGCCACCTTTTTTCAGGTCTGCAAACTTTGGAAATACGACTTGTATTCTAAGACAGCATATTGGTGATTTAGAGGCATTGCTGAAATTGTGTGCACTTATTTATTAAATGACTCACATATAGATGGCGGCCAGACACCTATAATCAGAGCCAGAGCCACCGATTTACATATCTTTAGAGGACAAACAATATATATTGACAATCTTAGGTTATAGGAAAACAACATAAGCAATACAGTTTAATATATTTTTTAAATATGTATTTTTAAACAATTCTTAAGAAGATGGCGGAGAAAATCTTATCGATATCGCTAACTATTAGTGCGTCATTGGCAAGTACTATAATATTATTAAAAGTATATGGATCTATTGCCTTAGCATGTAACTGTGGAAATTTGAGAACCGACTCCAAATTTAGGCCGAAATAGTTTAGTTGAAAATAATAACTATTTCAACAAAGCAGGAGATTTGTTTTTAACCCTGCTCGGTTATTTTAGTTCAAATGTTGCAATTCGACTCCTAACTCTCTACAGTTCGCCCTTTGGTAATTTTTTTTAAATTTTTTTATTAAGCCTAGTGTATTGGCCCTGCGTAGCACATAAATTGTAAAATAAAAAGACACCACAAAATACCCCTCCCCCCTCCTCCAATAAATTAATATTACATTTAGTCATTTTTATTTCCACTCAAGCAATGAGTCCTGTTTGGCATGTTACAAAGAAAGCGAATTATCAGCCAAAACATGACCTAATTACCTAGAAACATCATTTTGTGTAGTCTGGAAAATACTATCTCACAGACCAATATTAATGACTGAGGTTATTGGAAATGTCCTTTTTAACTTAAATGTAGTCTATTACTTTGTTCCTTCTACCTTTAATGTCTGCTTCTTGAGATGTATATTTCAGACTTTTCTTTCATGGGCTATTAGGTTTTGAAATACATGAATGTTATCAGTGAAATATGTTGTTCAACACTATTTAGCAGGAACCGAAGAGCGAGCTGCAAATGGTTTGGTTCAAGGGCTGCAGTCTGCTGGTGTTGCTATGGTGGCTTTATACACAGTGATACAGAACATGCAGCTAGGTATTGCTGAAGAAATGCATTTTATTATAGGTATTTTGCTTTAGATAACATTCACCTCATACATTTATATATTTATACTGATATCCAGCTATACTATATATCACTATACTATATATATATATATATATATATATATATATATATATATATATATATATATTTATTTATTTATATTTGTGAAATGCACAAAATAGAGAGATGATATTCTGATGATATTTGTAGATAAAGGAGTATATATATATATATATATATATATATATATATATGTACTGAAGTCATTAATAAAATAAAAAAATAGAATAAGAAACAGACAATCTGATGTGCACATGTATCAAAATTACCCATTTCTACTGTTACCTCTATGATAACAAGTACTTAAGGGGCAAATTCACCAAATGTAAGTCGCAGGTGGAGAATTTTTAACTATATCATCTATTTTGTCAAAAAGAAGAAAATAACCCCTCCTACCCCTCCCCCCGCAAAAAAACCCCTAAAAAACTAGTTGATCGTCAACTAAACACAAGTAACAATTTTACACATCAAAATAGGTGTTGTTTGGATAGAATAGCACTGTGTTCCACCACCACGTATAAACATCTGAAACCTCTTGGCTAATATTTTATGCACAGTATCAAAAATTATAATAATGAAATGTAAATACTGATAGGTTAATAGTGCTGCCTGTAAAGAAACTATATACAACAGCCTATAAACGCCAAGGCGACTATGTACACCCCGTGCTCTATAAAATATATTTTCATATTATTTCATGTGTTTACTCATAACCTGATTGTAACACTGTACGGAAATGTTATTGTACTTCTCACACAATACACTTATAAGTAGGAACTTTTCCTAAATTACACTACCAGGGAAAACAAATGAAATGTAGAAATGAAATTTTCTGATTTGTTTTGCTTCTGTTATTTATAATGCACATATGTGTGTGTATTGAGGGTGCATGTGTGTGTGTGTATATATATATAAAATAAAATATAAATATAAATGTATGTATATATACATACATATATGTACATATGTATAAATTAAAAAAAAAGTATGTATACACACACACACTTCATTTTACTATGACGTCAAGATAGCCACTCCCAGCATTAAGTCAGACTTTAGAGCCAGTGGTAACCTAGGCTCAGTCACATAGCTGTGCGCATGCTCCGTACAGGACATCTGATCCCCTGGCTCCACGTGCTGATGAATATGTATGACGAACCCCATCACCCACTACCAACCATTGTAAACACTGGGAATCACTTAAAGGCTCAGAATACAAATGTACGTATATAAATGTATTTACATGTATTGGAAGTTGGAATCTAATTTTACAGGACATTCAATGCTCCCTCCACCCCCTCCCCCCCCGAACCCCCCCTCTTAATAATACAAATACACGGTATACATGCGAAAGACAGTGTTAAGACAGTGAAAGACAGTGTTAATTATCCATGTGCATAATAACATAATAACATTTCACATCTTTGTTTTAGCCACATGTTACTGTTACATATATATATATATATATATATATATATATATATATATATACTTTTTCTTCTAAATTTCTATTTCCGATCGTTCATTTATATATATATATATATATATATATATATATATTCTTCTAAATTCCTATTTCCGATCGTTCATTTATATATAAATACATATATTACATATAAATGTGGCTGTTGATGTAAATCTGTAAGTAAACACAACACACACACACACACACACACACACACACATCATATGATGACGAAATAGATAAAAATAATGAAAAATATTTTGGCGAAGGCTATAGATGGGTTTACAGGGAAACTAATTTCAGCAGTGGGTTTTTAAACATGAAACGTATCCAAAATAAACTTGGCATTTTTGGAACAGAACCACTATTTTTCAGCTGAAACATAATCATTACTGAGAATATTGAGAGGAAACTAACTGGCATATGATACAGAATTATTGATGTCTGTAGAACAGAGAGATTAAATCACAACTATAATTGAAACTATAAGCAAATAATTAACAATACATACGCATTATAAATACCTCCCCCCAACACATACACATTATGGATGGAACTCTGGTTTGGTTTGGTTTGGCGATATGAGGCCTTTGCCCTGTCGACTGAAGATAATTCTGCCCAATAGTGAGTGTGGCTGCTTACTGCAATAGGATAAAGGTGTAATAAAACTTTACCTACATAGAGATGCACAGTAATCACGTGACAATATTACACGGACTATGGACAGCTGAATAATATTCTACATGCTACAGATCTGTTAGTAAAGAAACGTACACTTTAATGTTATCATAAAAAACAAGCACTTCACAATCAATGTATTAAAGGGCCAGTTTGCTAAACAGTGATTTGGGCTGAATCAAGAATCGACTTGTAAAATGCAGGCCAAATTAAAAGTGTTCGAATCGTTTTACAACTAAGCAGAATTAATTTTTTTTTCTTATTATTTTAGTTTAACTCTTAAAAAAAAATCAATAGTCTGCTCGCCACAACTCGCTGTTTAGTAAATAGATCCCTACATTTAAATTTACGACAGACTACAGACCGACATGTATCTAGCTCACTTCCACAGTGAAGAACTGCTATGTTGTAGTACGTTGTGCTGTTTATAAAACATATTTAGTATGCACAATTTAGTTCCCACGAGAAATTCTAATACTCTTCTTACAAATTACAAATCTACAGTCTGATCTTTTTATGTTATCCTCAAAATACACAAACTCAAAATATTATTCTGTGCATAAAAAGGTTCAGATGAAAACATTTCTATTTCAGTTCCCCAGAAAACAAACAATTTCATTATTTTGCTGGAAGTCGAAATACATACACATATGAATGACTGGTATAAAATGTATCCATAT